ATAAACCTTAACAGGTATGTTATTGTTTGTATCAAGATTGTTGGGAAATATAGTTTGTTACATAATTACTTATTCTTATTTTGAGAAGAAAAAATACTAAAAACAATGACACAGAATTTCAAAACAAGATAGTATATGAGGGTTACAATAGGGAACAATTGTTATCTCCAAGGTAGTTGCGCCTATTACAAGATCTAGGCATGAAAAACTGATCAAACAGTATAGGCACAAATCTTTCTTTTCAAAAACTGATAACAATTAGTTGTGTAACTATCTTTACTATGATATATATATTTTCTCCACTTCTCTTCCTTCTTTTCTCCTTTCCTTCATGTAGTTTCTCTTTCTGAAATGAATATGCACTTCTATGATGAAGAAATAAAAATAGCAAATAAATATATGAAAAAATGTTCATCATCACTGGTCATTCAAGAGATGAAAATCAAAACAACACTGAGATTCCATCTCACTCCAGAAAAAAAATGGCTATCATCAAGAAATCAAGCTATCAATCAAGAAATGGCTATCAATTAAGAAATGAATAACAAATACTGGAGGGGCTGTGTGGAAAAAAGAACCCTTCTCCACTGCTGGGGGGAGTGTAGACTGGTGCAAACATTGTGGAAATTAGTGTGGAGATTCTTCAAAACACTAGGATTTCAGGTTCCATTTTACCCAGCTATTCCCCTTCTGATTATCTTCCCAGAAGAATTAAAAACATCACACCACAGTGATATATGTGCACACATATTTATACCAGCACAATTTTTAGTAGCTAAATCTTGTAAGCAACTTGAATGTCCATTGACTGAGGAACAGATAAAAAAAGATGCATTATTTTTACACAATGAAGTATTACTCAGCTATAAAGAAGAAGAGACTTGAAGCTTTTATAAGTAAATGAATGCAACTTGAGACCATACTCTTAAGTGAAATAAATCAGACTCACATTCATAAACATTGTATTGTCTCCTTAGTATAAGAAGTTGAAAGAGTAAATTACATCCAAAATGTACAATAGATATTGTGGAATGAGAAGAAACTGTACTCTTGTAATCCATACATAGAAAATTAACCATTTTATGGTAACTAATAAATTCCCAGATTTTTATCATGTTGCTGTATTCTTGATTTTCTCATATGCTTGACAGCTTTTATGTATATGATTACGTTTCTTTTATTAATTTTTCTCTTTTGATTGATCCCACTAAAAGTATTGGCATGTTAGTCATTTCAGTGACTGGGTTTTTGCATTGCTGATAATCTTTAACCCTTTGTTTTGGGCTTTTTGATAGAGTCTGCTCCTTGATATTATATTCATATATATATATATATATATATATATATATATATATATCTTCTTTAGTTTTACTGTTCTTTTAGTATTTTTCATATAGAACACTTACTTTAAAATGTCTTTGAATTAATGTCATTTATTACTATAAATTTTCCTCTGTGCTCCACCCTACTAGTTTATTAGTTATGATACTTTCGGCAGCAATAAGTAAATTCAAGGTGTCATTGTCTATGTATAATACAAATTCACATCATTTGTATGACTGCTCAGGTGAATTTCTGGTTTGGTAGGAGACACATAATTATCCACAAGTTTCGAGCCTTAGACCATGCTGACCCTTCCCATCCTTGTTATCATCCACGCATGTTATGTTCCCTTCACTCAGCAGAGGGAACAGAACTGGGGTGAGACACGCTTGCTTCTTAGCCACAACGTGGCTCAGAAGTCACGTGTTTACAGCCAGCCGCATTTCATTGGCTAAGCTCTGACCAATCGCTGTGCCTAAACGCGTAAAGGAAGGGACTGGGGAATATTTTGTGACTGTGTTCAGGGAGCAGATAAAAAATTGATTTCATTGAGAAGCTTGCATTCTCTCCATGCATCTATGTCATAATTGTGTATTATAAGTTGTGATTTAATGTTACCACAATGAGGAAGCTTGGTAAATATTTGAGACTTTTTAGGGCTGGGGATTTAGCTCAGTGGCATAAATGCTCACTTGGCAAATGCAAGGTCATGAGTTTGATCCCCAGTACCAAAACAAAAAACAAAAATTTAAAAAATCCCACGTGTGTGTGTGTGTGTGTGTGTGTATATATATATATATATATATAGAGAGAGAGAGAGAGAGAGAGAGAGAGAGAGAGAGAGACTTTTCAAGTTACTCTGTTAATTATTACATGTCATTGATTATAGAATAACTGATTTACTTTGATTTCACTATTTCATTTATGATAAAATGCGTGTGTGTGTGTGTGTGTGTGTGTGTGTGTGTGTGTGTGTGTGTGTTATTGGGCCCTTTGCACTGAGATTCCTCCCTTATTCTTCTACTTTTAAAATTTTCGAGACAAGGCTCACTGAGTTGCTAAATTACCGAGGCTGCCCTCAAGCTTAGAATTCTCATGCTGTAAACTCCCACGGTGCTGGACTGTCAGGCAAGTACCACCACACCTGGCAAATGTACAGTTTTTTTAAACATTTCCTAGAATTTTGCCATGTCTCATAATTTATAGATTTTGTCAGTGGTATCCTTCTTGTTTGTCTGCAAAATAAAGCAACATCTTACCAAAAATTTAGATATTATGAAATATTGTTGTGTCTTCTCAGTCTTAGGAGAGTTTCATATAGGAGAAAATAATATATATTAGTTATTTGTTAGATGAATGATTCCATAAAGTAGATTAAGCTTGTTAACATAGTTTTACAAAAATCTTAACATTTTTACTACCTTATTATTACTGCATAAGCAATTTTTTTTTTGTAAAAGAAATCTCTTTTCCTATAGTTAACGCTCTGTCTTAATTTTCTCTAGTTCTATGATTTTGCTCTATAATATTAGTATCCAGAGCTGGGGATACAGCTTAGTGGCGTAAGTGCCTGCTTGGCAAGTTCTGAGTACTGAGTTTGATCCCCAATACCAAACAAAACAAAACCAGTGGACCTGCAGATCATTACATCCTCCAGTCTTTCTGTAGTCCCTTTGAGTCATCATTATAAATAGTTTTTGCTTTGGAGTTTTCAATATTGATGTTGGTCTCCAACTTTGCTTTTGAGTATGATTTTCCTTTAGATATTTTTCTGTTTCTTTACTTTGAAATTGATTTTTTTTCTCCAAAGTTAAGTCTTTAAAATGTTTTCCTGGATAAACGTATTTGATTTTTTTCAGGGTAGGCAAATAGGTAAATGTATCTATTTGTAATTATTGCTAGTATATTTGAATCTTTTGATTTTATTTTATCTTTTACATTGTATCATCCCTAAAACCAGACTGTCATGAAATCAATGAGTCTATCTTATTTTCTGTCTCCTGGGATTGATTTGGTTTTTATTACATTTTTATGCCTTTCTCATTGATTAGTTTTTATTATTAATTTTCCTTTACTTGTTTCAAAAGTGCAGATTTTATTTGTTTTTTTAGTGCCTATCATTACTCCTATCATTGTTAAATCCTTTATATATCTCATAGATAAGGAAATAAGATTATAAAATGACATGACCAAGAAAGCTATTAACCTAGGAAATCCTGTTCACTGAAGAAATCACATTTCAATATTCATTCTATTTATTCAATAAATAAAATATAAACCGGAGTAAAATAATAGGCATGCACATGCTTGTGTGTGTGTGTGTGTGTGTGTGTGTGTGTGTGTGTCTAGAATTTGCATTAAGGATAGAGACCATAAAGGCAAATGATTCAAAGTAATTGGAGTACAGATAAAGGAATGGAGAACACATAATTAAACACAAGAAGGGCTTATGCTTTAATGTAGAGCATACAACAAGGGGAAACAAAGCAAAAATAAAATGAAATTGAATTTAATTTCATGAAATGAATAAAGAACTGCATCTGGGCATAAAAGTAACATTTTATATAATGCCTAGTTATAGATTAAAAAGTGATTAATATGACCATGATGACATCAGACAGATTTCTGCCAATGAAATTTAGCAAAACTTATTCAAGGGGAAAGTCTCTTGATATTGATATTCAGTGAAAAATTTCCTGAGAGCTGAAGATTGGATTTAATCTTACAGAATGAGAGGGGAAACATAGTATCAGGATGGGTGAAAACTTGAGATAACATGCAAGATCTCAGGAGCTGAAAACAAATGCGTATTTGGGGAATGAATTGTTACCTCCCAAATTCATATATTGAAATCCTAAACTATCCCCAAGCAGTATCTCAAAATTATAACTGCCCTTGGACACAGAAATTTAAAGAAGTGATCAAGTTCCAATGATCCTCGACATGTGGGTCCAAATGCACTCTGGTTTGTGTCCGTGGAACACAAGGACATCTAGCTTCGAAGACATCCAGAGAAAAGACTGTGTGAAAACACGACCCAGAAGCAGTCATCAAACAGCCAAGGACAGAGACTTCAGGAGAAACCAAGCCTCCCAGCACCTCGCTCTTGGACATCCATGAGGAAATATCTGTTATTTAAGCCTTCCGTTACGGCACTTCCAGTTAGCTACATCCTTCTGACAGCTGGGATTGAGAAGACAGGAAGGTGAGACTGAAACTCAAGCAATGTTAGATCCTGAAATTCTTAAATGCCACGAAATGAGTTGCTTCTTGGTCCTAAGCAGCATGGCACACAACTGAAGATTATAAAAATAATTCTGCGTAGGGCATGACGGCACTTACTTTTTACACAGATTCGTCTGGTTTTCTGGGAAATGTCTTCAGAGAGGTCTGACAATGGGAAGACCAACGCGAAAGGTCTTGCAGCCTTTCTGTGCCGAGACGAAGCATCTGCCCTGTGCATTCTTAGGCTGCTTCCACACTGCACACGTGGGTATTTCTCGGGTCTCCCTTCTCAGAAGTGTCCCTGTCTTCATTACAGCAATTATAACATTGTGTAGTAATTTATCTCTATAAGGAGCAATAAAAAGGATATAGCAAATATTTAAATTTAAAAAAAAAACTTATGGTACCAGTCACATCTCCATCAATCTCCCTCAAAATATCCCTCCCCGCTTTGAACTTGTACTCTGTGGTTCTCGCCAGTTTCTGAAGCTGTTCTTCTTTCCTATTTTTATAAGGTGTGACCAGAAACGTAGTGAATGCCTCTGCCAAGCGCTTGCCGAAGGAAAAGGAGCTTTTAGAAATGTTATAGCGTGTCTTCACCCAGCCTGCTGATCAGATCTGGCATTCCACATCTTCTGGTTCTTCCCCAAAGTCAAAATGACCTGGAAAGGTAAAATTTGGGATTGACTTGGGACACCGAGGCAGCCACAGCAGTGCAACAAAAGACCCCACGAGAGAGGACTTCCAGAGCTGCTTTGGAAAGGGCCGGGGACGACTGAACCTGTGCTCGAAGCAAGCAGAGATGTTTCGAGGAGCATTCCTGGCAATGTGTCTTTTACTATAAACATTTTTCAATTTAAATTTTCTTCTGCACTTTTCAATCGCACTGCATTAACTTTTATCTGCATTAATTGCTGTGCTCTTTTATGCTGAAATGCTATCTGACTTATCACGCTTTTGTGAGTAACATGGCGTCTGACAAATACTGTTGAATAAATGAATGAACGAATCAACGGATGATTGTTCTGCAGCGTGCAGGTTACGTTTCATTTTAAACTCCTCACTCTGGGTTCGTTCTCTGGCTTTCTGTAATACTGTCTGGTGTTCTGCAGAGATGGGGAAGCATTCATCTCTTTGCCCGCCACAGGGAAATCAGATTTGTCATCTTCTTTATTTGATGCTCCAAGAAACTCTCCAACATTTTGCTTTGATGTATCCATTTAAGGTGCTTTCGCTCTCTCCAGGTACCTTGAGTCATTCTTTGCCTTGCTTCTGCGTCTGCTTCAAAAATCGGTCCGAGTTATGCTGCTACCTGGTCTTTGGGACTTGCGTACCACAGGTCAGGATTGATTTGCCGCATTCGAGTATTTGCATTTTGGATTCATCCTTGGATGTTGCTTTGTTTTCTTTCGTGGTGAGGTCCCCTTTAATGCAGGTAGGATTAGCATCTTCAAACACATACATCTGAATCCTCCCGAGGCACCTCTGATCCTCTAGTCGAACGTTTCTGCACTGAGGTACAGTTGCCTTTCATGTGGGGAGATTTGTTGGACGAGAAAGCTGGTGAGTATTCCAGAGACTCTCCCTCTGACTTTCGATATCTTTGTCATTGGATACCCTCAGAAAGGATAAATGATTATTTAGTCACTCAGTGGAGGTTTGAGTTTTCCTGAAGTGAAACAATTGACACAAATATAAATCTTGTGTGCTATTCAGTTTTAGTGGAAATGCTTTATTGTACGCTGCAGACTGTAAAAGATCTCCTGTCTTTGCAATGTGTCTAGATAGATTGTGTTTTCTGAAAAGGATTTAAGGAAATGAGCAAGTGAATCTTCAATTCTGAATTTCAGCTATTCATTTATATAACACACTTATTAGGTTTACACTCTATGCTGAAAGCGTTCTATTTACTTGCCTTAAATCATAAGTAAGACACACTCTCACTCTGCAGAAGAATGTTCGGTACTATGTGAAAGGCAGACATATGAAAATAACTGTAAAATGCTGTGTCACTTCCATGACCAAGGTACACACACGGGGACTGCCACCATGTCCCTGAACTGACATCAGCTCTTTACGCTGCCCCAGGCTGGCAAGGTCTGTGGTCCGGCTTAGGATCAAACTCGGCCCTTGGTACTTGGACAGGAAAAAAATTGATCTACCCAAGGTTAATCACTTTGAAAAATAATGAAGTGAAAGTCTGCCTAACGCACTCAGGATAATGAAGGAAAATGAAGAAACGAACGGGAGACTAGAAATGTTCGGTGTTAATTTTATCATCGAACACCCGCCCACTCACCCTCTAGAGAAGTGACTATTTAAAACCAGAAGAGGCATGCTGTACCCAAAGGTCAGAGTGGGAAACCTCGTGATTCTCGTTTTAGCATTTTAAGACTAACTGGCATATGTTCCTGGCAATTTCTTTGCATAAATCATGTTTTAAATAAACGAAGCAGGAACATTCTCAGAAAATGGGGACATTCAAATTTAGAACTTTAAAAACTGAGCATCATGTTTTGACCCTTAAATGCATTTCTTTCTGTTTATAGAGTATGGTTTGACATGTTGATTTAGAAATTAAGAAATAGAAGTTGGAAAAATGATCTCAGGCTTAACAGTGGAAGTGGGAATGCATATTTGGGAGTCATTGGGAGATAAAGACGGCCTGAGAGTTCGGAATAGATACACTGATCTTTTAATGTCTGCACACACACAGGAACGCAGATATAGCCGCTGTAGGTTACACGGTAAACCAGGATAAATCTTCTGCAGGATCTATTCCATTTAGAGTGCTGTCTCCCAGACTTGTGGAACCTCCTTCCAGAGAAGAGAAGTCACTCTCTTATAGGTTCTGTCTCCATAATATTCTTAAAAGCTAACATGTATTGCACACGAATTACAGGCCAGGCATTGTTCTAAATCCTAGTGTAATGAACTCATTTAATGCTTCCAAGGAAATAGGTTGTGACCCTCAACTTCAAATGAGAGAACAGCAAAGATACTAGAGCCATGCATTGGGAAGAGAACCCATCAGAGTTCAGACCTAGGAAGTTCCCTGCAGAATACTCAGGACCTTACCCACTGTGTGCACGAATGATCCGGTGGTACCAGGATGGAAGGCTGTCTCTGCAGAAGCCAGAATGCCGTGGATCTGTGACGTGGCATTGGACATCTTGCCTCTCTGGCTAAATTCACCCTTCAGTACCCATTCGGTAGCAATGGACTGGACGCTAAATGCTTCTTCCTTACTGAGCACAGTGTGAAGCTCTGTCAGTGGAAGGCACAGAGGACAAAGCCACTCTTTCTAATTTACGGCTGGCTTTTCCTAGTTCCGCTTGCACCCCTGCAGATGGGTGCACCTGTGGGGATGCCCAGTTGTTTCCTGTTCCCGCCACACACCCGGGGCACAGTACTGGGGAAGATGACAGCCCTAGGCCTGACCTAATGACCGTGCTCCCCTCAGTTCTTCTGACACGAACCCCAGTACTCCGGGCCTTGATCCTGCAGTGAGGCACGCTCCTCTGTGTCCATCTGCTCACCAGCAGAGATTCCCTTGTCCCATGAGGCCTTGTGACTGCTTGCTTTGTGGCTATAAAGAAGCGTTTGCCTGAGAAAACCAGCCAACTTCCCCAGCACCCCGCCAGCGGCAGCCACACAGCCAGCGGTGCGGACAGCAGCCCTGGGGAGCTGACCTTCCAACACTGCCTTCCTTCCTCGCTCGCCATAGGCCCGAGAGTACCTATGATAGCTCTATGATTCCTCTACCACAGCTTAAACACGTGTTTATAATAAGCTCCCTCTCTTTAAATAACTATGTTTCACATTCCCGGTTGGACACGGGCTGACAAAGAAACCAAGGAGGCTGTGTCAATTGGAGTGTATGATACACTGTTCCTGAAATACATATAAAGAAGCGCACCTGTTTGGTGTGATAAATAATTCAGAAAGCTAAAGCAGGTGATATAGGTGTATGTGTGTGTGTATGTGTGTGTGTGTGTGTGTGTGTGTGTGTGTGTGCATGCGTGCGTCTGTGTCTGTGTAAATTTTCCGGCGGGAAGTAGGGATTATATACTTCTCTGTCCCAGGATCAGGATAATGAAACATTGAGTTTTCCACAAATTAAGACAATATTTTCTACCTAAATACCAGTTTGAGCTTCACCCTGAAATGAATGAATCCAAGGCTCTCTTTTGAGAGATTCAAGTCTGTGAATTAAGGGCTAGATTATACTTTGTGATGCCGATTGAAATTTACAAGAAAGATAATGTGTGTTACATTCTTCAGAAATGACTAATTCAAGTACAATTCAGAAAGATTTACTAATATGCAGTGATTTATAAAGAGATTTCACTGACTCAGGAATTTCAGTGTGGAATGCACGAGAGAGGATGGCCAAGCTGAATGGGCTCTGACTTGTGATGAAAAGCCAGAGCCCTTGTAAACTTCTGGGATTGGCATACAGGGGTTGCCAGTGTGGCAGGGTCCTGTTGGCACCTTCTGTAACTGTCCCTGCCTGCGGCATCTTTTCACTGGGATCTGATCGCTGTCCTTTAGCTTAGGTAACACTGGCCAGGTTACAGAGTGGGCGGTGTGGCTTCTACATACTGAGAAAGGTCACCAGGCGAGCACTGAATCCAAATACAGCACCTGTGCTCTCAGCCAACTGGTTTCGCCTACACTGGCACATTGCACTGTGGGAGACAACGCCAGTGACCCCCCTTGAATGCAAAACAATTGCTGCAACTTTGATTATATGGAGACTGATTTCCTTATACTGATGTGTATTTCCTTCTCTCTTCAGTTGGCTCTAAGCATTACAAATTAGGCTAGGGAGGTTCTGGTATGTAATCTCTAAAGCTGACAGAGTCTCCTGTTTCCTGGCATAGTGCTCTCTGTAAAAGATATGAGCACCACAGGATGGCAGAGCTTCAAGAATGTCAACTGGGTAGGAGCCTCAAGGTAAAGAGGCTCTGACTCCCCAGGGCACAAAAGTTTACATATGAAGCAACAGCCTCCTAAAACAATTCAGTTGCTACCTTAATTGAATTATGCAAATTGATCCTTCTGCATATCCTTATCTCTGTGTTTTGCAGAGATGCTTTTCTCCCCACCTGGGCAGCCAGCTCACATTACTCACGTAATTCCCGCCATCCTCACTGTCATTCATCCCGGAGCCATCCCCTTCTTTACAAGTTAATAAATTCTGGGAGAGGCCTAGGGTCAGGGCCTTTGTCCCCATGTCCTTATGGGGATGGGACTTAGGACCCCTTGGCTGCCCTTAACTTGGAACATATCTTGGTGTCTTTATTCTCACCATGGGTTGCTTTGGTGGTGGTAGATTAGAATTAACTTTTTTGGGATTTCAATAATGTCTCAATGGGATTACAATGATAACATTTTGGATTGTGAGGAAAACTGGAAAAGGGATTACAAGACTTGGATGACTCTACACAATATTAGGGATTACAATAGCCCACCTCCCATACTTGATTCTAACACTGACTTGAACTGTGAAATTGTTGATATTTGATCATTTTTGATCAACAAGGGATTGGGTTTATTTGTTTTAATTTAATACAATAGCATCCAGAAAGATTTTGGTACATATCTCAAAAGTAGTTAACATTTCTGGAAGGATTATTTAAAATGTGCTCAGGAAACTTGCTACACAAAAAGTGTATAATAAAAGTTCTTTAATGTCTTAGAGTATTTAATTAGCATTCACATTTCCTTGATTTCTATCTCTTTATACTTGTTTTATTTGTAGTTTTCTATTTTCTGGTCATGTTTTCATTAATTTTCGCTCTGGGCAGGGTTAGAGCAGCCTCACACAGTGAGTTAGGAAGAATTCCTTTCACGTGTATTTTTTGAGTGTGTGTACGCTTGGCATCACTTGTGATTTAAGTGACTGGCAGATCTTACCATAAAACCATCTTGGTCGGAAATATTCTTTGTGAGACAGATTTTAAGTATGCTTCAGTTTCTTTCAAATAATTCTAGAATATTGGTAGTTTCTGTTTCTCACAGAGCTCAGTTTGATAATGTTTTTGAAGTATTTCTTTTTCATTTTATGCTGTTGATTTTATCAACATAAAATAACTTATAAGCCATGTTTGGTGGTAGATGCCTATAATATCAGCTGCTTGGAGGCTGAGGCAAGATGATTTCTAATTTGAGGCTGGCTCAGAATACTGAGGCACTTAATGAACCCCAGTATCAAAATGGAAAATGAAAAATAAAAACCAGAAAGGCTAGGGATACAGCTCAGGGGTTGAGTGCTTGTCTAGCACATGTGAACCCCTGAGTTCAGCCCTTAATAACACATACACATATGCACAAAGACTATTTCTATTAGTATTACTAATTTTATCTTTTGTTGACCTCTGAATCAATAGCAATTATTATTATTAATTGTGATTTAATTTTTGGACAAAAAAAGAATATTTTTGTCCAAAAATATTCCTTATGATTTCAATATTGTTAAAGTAACAAGACATTTTCTGTGGCCTGGCATATCTGTTTTTGGTTAATTCAAGATGATAATTTTTACTATCAGGATAATCTTTTCATCTGCTTGTTTACATTTGAAATCTTCCCTGTGTCTGTCTTTCCCTTTAGCATGTGTGATAGTTAACCATGGTGTCCACATGAAGAAGGAATGCCTGACACATTGGTTTGGTGCAGTGCTGGACGTGTCTGGATTGATGAATTTACTCAAAATGCGAGCCCCTCCTCAGGTGTGAAGGGCTCCAGCCAATGGGCTTGCAGCCTGGCTGTAACAACAGGGAAAGGAGGAGGGAGTCTCATGTCTGCTTCTCCAGGGAACCTCCAGTCTGCACTGTCGCCTTGGAACATCTATCCACAGGCTCACACCAATGCTTCATCCCTCCAGTTCAGGCTCTTTGGCTTCTTGACACTGACTCTCACAAAACCCTGCAGCGAACTTCACATCGGCAATTTTTGACTGGATCCTCCGCTTCTCTAGAGATGTTTTGAGCTCTTTCACACCTGACTTTGCAGGCAGCCATTGTAAGCCTACCTTGTCAATCCTCTATCTATCTATATAAATATCTATGTATATCTTTTCTAAATATATACATATAAATATATATAACTTTGTTATACTAAAATGCTGAAAAATTAAAATAGTTGATTAAAAGATAATTAGCAAAAATAGTTAAAAGGATAGTTATTAGCAGTACTGTCATTCTATACTGAGCTCGTTACCCAAGTAAGCAAGCACCAACCACGTAGTTATAGATTAACTGACTGCGTCATCATGCTATTCTGTATGCATCATTCCCCTCCACTCCAGTAACTTGTTGGCTGTATCAACCTTTGTTCCACTTTTAAGAGACAAATGATGCTGTGTCAACCATCGTTCCCTTTATGAGAGACAAATGTTCCTGGAATTGGCAGACCGAGGGCTATGAATTGGCTAACCACCCACTGTGAAATGCCTCTGACCTCAAGCAAAGGGGAACAAAGGCCCACCTTGTTTCTGTTTCTCATCACTATGTACTTAATGATCAATGAGCTAATTATAAATGAACTATAAAAGTCAGTCAAAATTCTAACTCAATCACACAGCTTTGCAAATTCCATCTGCTCTGTGTCACTGGGCCAGCTAAAATAAAAGCGCTTGTTCTTAAAACGATGTTGTTTTGCCCTGTTTTTTTTTTTTTTTTTTTCAATCTAGGGGGCCTTCATGGAGAAGTACAACTTCTTTATATATAATTTAATATTAATTGTATTAAATCTGTTCCTCTAGTGGATCCTAACTGTTATAAATATTATTTACTTTCCCTTTTAATTTTTGCCTTATGAGATGTGATCAAAAGATATAGTGAATAGTAAATCAAAATAAAAACTACTACAATAAAATTTGTATTGCAATTTTTCTCCCTCCAAATATTCTACCCTGCCTTGCTCAATTATGTTCCATTGCTTGCCCCTTTCTGAAGCCATTCTGGAAGTTCTCTCTCATGAGTATCTTTTGGTGGCTCCCTCATTGTCCTGAACTAATTCAAAATATTCTGGGGCATTTCAGTCAAATGAAAACACCACAGTATGTCCACATTGTTTGCTTCCCACATCTGGCACGGTGTCACTTCTGGTTCTTTTCCAAATTTAAAATGACCATGAAAAGTAACACATGTAAAAGTTAAAGGTTCATCATATTTTATATGTATTTTGAATACCATCATTCTATGGGGCTTCTCCAGTGTTGTATTAGAATTCTTCACAGAAATAAAACATATATACATAATGCCATTGGGAAAGATGGGGTTCCACTTCATAACCAGTACAAACCAGTTCGTAATCTGAAAGCCAGAAAAACCAGCAATGTAGTTGAAAGATCCAAAATCCAGAAAGATTCTGCTTTGAATCTGAAGCCCAAGGAACCAGGAAACCCAATGACAAAAGATGGGTTTCTGGGGCCAGGGGCCACGCAGCAGAAATTCAACCTCCTTGCTGAGGATTTAGCTCAGTGGTTTAAGTGTTTGCTTTATAAGCTCAAGGTCGTGAATTTGATCCCTGGTTAAAAAAAAAAAAAAAAAAAAAAAAAAAAAAAAGTCAACCTCCTTCATTTCTTCCACTCCTGAGAAGAATGATCCTTGCTCACACTGGGGAGGGTCACGGGCTTCACTACATCCATCAATTCCAGTGCTAATCTTCTCATGAAACACACTAACAGTGCCACTTGGAAACCATGTTTAACTGGGTACCGAAGCATCCTGCAGCCCAGTCAAGGTGACACATAACTAACCACGGTAAATACTGGGACATTTTCTTCACCATTGAGTATTTTATCTTTATAAAAAGCTTTTTTGGGCGCTGGAGGTTTAGTTCAGTGGCCTAAGCGCCTGCCTGGCAAGCACAAGGTTGTGAGTTTGATTCCCTGTATCAAACAAACAAATAAGTAAATAAACGCTTTTCTGTAATTCCAGTGATCTTTCTAAAACTTTTTGTTGTTTTATTTACTTCTTTTGAGAATTTTTTGAGACAGTGTTTCACTACATAGTTCAGACTGGACTTGAACTCACTTTGTATCCCAGGCTGGCCTTTAACTCAAGTGATCCTCCTGCCTCAGCCTCCTGAGTGGTGGAATTACAGGTGTGTGCCACCACACCTGGCTCCTCCGGAGGTTTCTTTTTTGTTTGTTTTTCATTTTAAAAGCTGATGTTGAGGGGGCTGGGGATTTAGCTCAGCGGCATAAGCGCCTGCCTTGCAAGCAGGCAGTCGTGAGTTCGATCCCCAGTACCGATAAAAAAGAAAAAGAAAAAAAACCAAAAAAACTGATGTTGCAGAGCTGCTGTAACTTTCCTAAGCTTGACATTTGAACTTTGTGTTTTCTGTTCTTTCATTTCTAATTATGACTATCTTTCTATTTAATAGATATGTACATATATATATATGTATTTTGAAATTTTTATCCAGTTAGACATTTATGAAATTCTCACAGATGACAGAATTTATTTACTGCTGTGGTTGGGTATGCCTATCATACTAGTATTTTTTCTATTTGTTATCATCATTTTTCTTCCTTTCTATATACTTTTAGTTTATTTAAGTGGTTTTTTGCATTCTATTATACATTATTTATTAGAGTGTTTGCTATAATTTCTATTAATATTTAACATTTACTCAATGAATTATACTTTCTGAATTTACAATTTTTTCATCTATAAAGTAAAAACCTTCTTAAATATATGTCAGCCATTATATACTTTACAGTTAATTTAGTAATATATTCTGACATTTCCCATATTCAAAGGAATTAGTTCTTTTTAAACATTTGATTAATTTTAAATGAACCTAAAAGTATTTTATATTATACTTTTTACTATTACAGTATTGTGTATTTTTCTCCTATAAAGTTATTTTAAAAGATTATTACTGGGTAAAGAATTCAGATATTTTATTCATTCAACATATTAAAAATTTTGCTCTAGTTTTTTATGGTTCCTAAACAGCATCAAGACGTGATTCTTATCTTTGTTCGTTGATTGCTGTCACACTGGCTTCCATTACCTGCGGTTTGATTTCCTTCACGTAAGTAGGCTTAGGTGTGATTCTCCTTATATTTATCTCTTTGAGGTTTACCAAAGTTCTGGGGCCTAACAGCTGATGTTCTGGGTCAAGTTTAGATAAAAGCCAGCCAGCATTTCTTCAAATATTTTTTCTGGCCCATTTTCTTTTTCCTTTCCTTCTGGAAGTCGTGGTACATTTACAAAGATGTTCCTGACACTGACCCATGGATGATCTGGGCCTTTTGATTTTAATTTTTCATCTCCCTTCCTTTGGGTGGAGAATTCCCATCGACTTCTTGGGAAATTTAGGCTCCTTTATTTGCTGTGCTCATTTTACTCAATTCTATTCATAGAACTTTTTATATCAGATGCTGTATTTTTCAGTTTTAGGATTTACATTTTGTTCTTTCTGAGACATTTTATTACTTTTAAAATTTCTCTACATTTTCACCTTGTACCGCTTTTCTTCCTGCAAATATTTTTAAATATTAATATGTTTAGTTCTTTGTTAATTCCAACATCTAAATCATGCTTAGATTTTCTTTCAAATTGATAAGTTTTTCTCTAAAATATAAGTTTCCTTTTCTTGGTTCAGGACATGTGTACCAATTTTTGTTGTACATTGGATACCCCGCCTGAAAGGTAGATTCTCTATATTTGCTACAAGAATTTATAATTTTTGACTTTTACTTTAAGGGGAGGTTGCTTATGTGTCATCTTGAGGCCATGGTGCCTACTACAGGCTTTGTCATTTTGATTTTACCCTTCTTCCCAGGGTTCCCTTAGTCCTGGAACATGTTCTTACGGTTACGTTGTTGGCCTTAGAAGTTTTTCAGAGCTAGTCTTGGCTGTTTACTAATCACATCTAAACTGGGAAAACTTAGTCTATGAAGCTTTCCGCCTTATTACTGATGGTAGCTTTTGAAAATCTTTGCTCTGCATTTTCAGGTTTACATCTCTTTCAATTTTCAAATGTGAATTTTGACCTCTACATTTATCAAATGCATATCTAGAACATGAATCAGTCAAGATTGGGTGGAATTTTCCTGTGGATATTTTCCCTTTATGGCTGTGTCCTTCACGATTTTCCCCCTTAACTTCCCTTCTCGGGCAGCTCTAAACCATTCCTTTACTTCTCACCAAATAAGATCACAGATTTTGCTGTAGCTCTGTCCACCCCGAGATGTGAACAGGAAGGAGAATGCTCCCAGGGGAAAACGCTGTCTTCGTGGGGATCTTACCAAATTTATGTCTTTGTTTTCAGAGGTCCCGTCCCTTACAGCCGCCCTCTACTTTCATGTGCTTTCCAAGGACTTCAATATTGCTTTCTTCTTTTTCTTGACCGGAATTTTGTGTACAAGGCTTCATCTGATCATTACTGGAGGTGGTACTTACGGATGGAATGCTTTGGTTTTTCACTTCAACTGTACCACTGTCCTCTGAACGTGTCCCCTGATGTGTTCTCTCACCATGCTCCTCTCCACTTGCTTTTGTGCATGGAACACTTAACACAGTTTATGTGCAGAAAAGGCGTGCAAAAATGAGTCACAAGCAATTGTTTCTTTTCTGTCCCTTTATAAATTACTTTCAAAGTCTTCATTTCCTTTCACATTTTATACTGCCTTTCAGCTATGGCGTCTTATACATGTCCAAGGAGAGGAAAGCATTTAATTACTTATTATTCATGGATATCGATAAGTAAAACAGAATCACATCATTGCTCCACTAGGGGTATAGCCGGTGAGTATCCGCCATGCACACCTTCATTTTTTAGACCAAGGCTACCTTTTGAGCCCCATTTTCTAAGTGCTGTATTTAAAGATTCTTAAAAAACTCCTCAATCCCAAATATGGTATCATATATATATATATATATATATATATATATATATATATACATATAATATTTTAACATATGTCTTATTACTACCCTAGGGCTTCTGTAACAAAATATCACAAGCTGGGGACCCAGAAAGAGAAATTATAAATGGAGAAGTCCATAATCAAGGTGTGGGGAGAGTCATGCTCTGAAGGGAGGATTTTGGCATGTAGAATCACTGTTACTTACACTATTACTAGAATCACTCTTATCTTTTCCTCCATCAGACAACGTACTGTTCTCTTTGTGTACCTCTGTGCTCAAGTTATCCCCCTTTCTCATGAACACAGTCATGATAGTAAAGCTCCTGTAAAGCCAGAATGATTATAATTAAATTTATTAAATCTAAAGCCCCAGAGCCCTGGCACACACGGACTTTAGGGAAATGCTGTTCAACCCGGCACCAACTTAAGCCTTATGGGACATTTCCTGTGAAATGGCTCTCTTTTGACAGTTTCTAATTTCTTCATCAATTGTTTCTGCCTCTATGGAGCAGTGCTGTGCCCTCAGCACACAGCGTGGTAGTTGGTTTCTTATCTGCCCCCAAGTTTGCTACTTATCCTTGGTTCTCCAGCGCTCCCTTCAATGTCTAGTTTAGAATAAATGCTTAGTGAATGGATGGTTTTTAAGGAAACGTAGGATATGGCTTCTTCCTTATTCTTTAAAGCCCTGAGCACTGTCAATGTTAAATATTCCCATCTCTTTTGGCCAGAATTTTTCTTTCCCGAGACTAAAAAAACCA